ATTCGTTTGTGCTCGCAGTATATCAGCAAGTCGGCCGGGAGTGGCAACAACGATATGCGGGCTGCGAGCTAGTTCTATTCCTTGTTTGATGACACTGCGGCCGCCGGTTACGACAAGGACGGAGCAAATGGGAGATCCATTTACGAAGTTAAGCCCAGATGCTTGTTCTCCTATTTGATAGGCTAGTTCTCTAAAGGGTTTTAGCTATTCATATACAACATTTTATACAAATCAAATATATAGGTAAGAGAGTAACCTGGTGGGGGTTATGATAAGAGCATAGTAGGGTATCGGCTCGGACATTAGGAATTGCAATATTGGAAGTAGAAAAGTGGCCGTCTTGCCAGACCCCGTCTCAGCGCATGCGATTACGTCACCTCCTGAATGACGGAAAGGGGGAGGAAATTGCTATTAGTTTAGCAAACTTCGTGACAAATCTGCAGTAAGAATTAAGATTATAAATTGTTTGAAATAAAAATATAGGAAGTGCAATAAAGGATAGATTATCAGGCAATTAGATACAATCGATACGATGTTATTGGGGGTAAACAAAGAGAGAACGACCAACGAATTTACTACCATTCAAAATTAGAGGTATGCAATTCTTTTGAACCTCAGTAGGCTTTACAATTCCCTTTGACTTTAATAGGTCAACCAATTCGGCGCAAACACCCAGGCGCTCAAAGCCAGCAAGAGGCATGGAGACGGAGTTAAAACGACCGCGACTATGCTGAGCAAAATATTTTTTGTACCCAAATTATTTCACGTGACGCTCAACATAAATGCCAAAGTATTGATTTATTACTTTATTGATAATAGTTAAGGTCTACTCTAATTATTCAATTAACTAAATAGCCCCATCAGCGCGCGATTCTTACCCGCCATTTGGGTGTACCTCTACAGTTTTTCTTCTCTTAGCCGTGCCCTAGCCTCTCTCGGTTGGCTGCAACAAGTCTTTACTTAACCCTGCTTTTGCGACCTTACTTTTACTTAAGTGTGGATTTCCGAAAATTGAGTTGTCACAGTTTTGTCGATACGCCTCTCCATCCATCACTCTCAAGCGGCTCTCGTCCGATGACAAACGCAGACCTCCCGACCATGCTGGGCTTTCTGTTTGTGGGGCTCGGAAGTATATCATCGAGGAGGCAAGCCCGCTGGACTAGTGCGAGATCGATGGGCTCCAAGGGAATATGCTCTCAGATTAGCGAAGATAAGACAGCCTATATTGGAGGTCCGCTTGGGAGTTATTTGATGCCGATCTGGATGTGTGCTTCTCCAGCGTCTTATCCTTTAATCACATCTTTATTTGGGTCACTTCGTCTCCTATTGCAGCTAGTAGGGAGTGTAGATCCAAATTGGGCTAGGCTCCTCCCTACCTTTGCCTTAAACTTATTGAAGGTGGTGACCCGATGTTGCTCCGTGGCGGTTTTTCGCATAAACATTTCCGGACACGGCTTCCATCCTTCACACCCCCGGCCCGTTAATTATGCAATTGTTTCATGTTCAAGGCAAGATGCAGGGATACCGATGAGAGCCGTATGTCCGATGCTGCAAGCGCTCGGGTGTGCGGCATTCCTTCTGGGTGGTCATGTGTTTAGTTTCCGAGGATGGGAGTTACCCGGGCAAACAAGTTTGAAGTCTGCGGTTGCATAAGCTTAGTAAGTTCAGACATCTGCGACATTGCGGTCTCGAGTCCGCGATAATTCTGGAGTGAGAGGCGATTACTTCTCGTGCCATCGGCAGTATGTTCTAGATACTGATCATTTGTCGCCCTCTGGGTGTTTGGGATCTCGATCGAGAGTCGTCTTATTCAAATTTAGCGTTGAGTAGGTCCGTGGTTCTTTGGCCGATTGGTAGAGTTGGGTCGGCGCCTCCCTGAGCTCCATCATTTTAGAGATTCTCCATCATCTATTACCTTCGGTGTGTATTGGCTCTAATGGCATGTCGCTTGAGCTTCTCGTGGCGTTCATGACCTCGTTTGACTCTTCGGCTGATTGAGGCTACCGATATTGTTAGAAGCTGGGGAATGATTGTATGCTAACCAGGCAAGTTAACGCAAGTAATGCGTCCTACCCACCAAAGTTGGGGATTTGTGTCAAAAATACAGTTTGAAAGTGACCTGTTCTCGAGACGACCCCATCAATTTGGGCATTCTAGAGTGCCCGATAGCTGAGGCAGTGTTTTTGTTAGGGGACATCTGGCGTAGCCTGTTCGGGAATATTGCACATGCTCTCGGGCTCTGCATCATCAAATATCGGCCTGTTGAAGAGGGGGTGAGGCATACGTTACCCCTGTGAAAGTAAGATTATAAGCTTGGCAAGAGGCCCAACGGATTAGGATTATCGAGAGGCTAGCAATGTGGTATTGTGTACTAGAGAATGCTGAGGATTACAGTGTCAGCTGTTTGTCGGATCTTGTGGAGGACTTGTTGGGCCAGACTTAATACGAGGCGAGGAGAGTAGCTTGCCGGCAAGCGTGTTATGTTTTCACCTGGTGAAGCAAGTCCGAAGTGCGGGCCTACTAGTGGCGCAAGTCAGGCATCATTACAACATGCGGACAACTGGCTAGGGGAAGTAAGAGCTTTAGCTGCCCTTTATGATGGTTTACCAAGCACAAGGACAAGTAGGCTGGCTGGCTGCAGTCCTTCCCACTTCTTATACTTTGGCCAGGTCCATTTAGTGAAACGTTT